ATTTCCTTATCCTTACCTGATGTAGAACTGGACTTAAAAGGAAATGGAGTGACATTTTTGACTATTTCAGTGGTCACCCAGTAGCTTCCACCCTTCCTCCAAGTAGAATATTACAACATACTTGCTACTTATCTCCAGCAGTTTGTCTTTAGCTACAGTCTTCCACTCTGCCTGGGAGAAACAAGTAAATAAAGCCCATATTTCAAGCTTGATTTACTCTGATACCTACTGTGAAAGATTATGACTCTTTAGGGAAATAAAGACAGGGTCAGGGAATTAGTGTACATAATGGTCATTTTGATAATGGGCCAACAGATGCAACTGGAAACATACTGTACACAATTAAGCATAATGCACTAATGACAGGTTAGAGTTTTTATCGCCTCTTTGCGATCGAGCAGCAAATCCAAGTTTAGCAGTAATAAAGAGTTTATTGGTGCTAAAGCCAAAAGATTTTCTGACAGAGGAAAGATTTTTCCTTTCATAACAAGAGTATTAAATCCTTTGTTTACTAGGCTCTAGGAAAGAGATATGCAAAGTGGTTGTCAGATATTTCTTAGGAAAAAGCCAATTAAAGGGTAATCGAGTAAAGGATAAGAATTACCATTTGACTTCAAATGTCTCCTCTTCTCTTCTCTCTCCTGCCTCCACCTCCTAACAGCATCGTGCCCCTGTGGACAGCTTCTCCTCCAAAGAACTTCAAAATCACAGATAATGATCCAAATCCCATTTTTTTTTCTACTCATGAAAGTAGAGCAGACCTGTCATATCTTAACAATTCTGCATTTTGTAGTGCAGCAAGATCTCATCTGTAGCCTTAATTGAACAACAAAACTGTGCACCTGAAATACAGATGAAAATGAAACAGAATTATTGGAGTAAAACAAAATGCTGCCTGTGGGGCTGATACAGTTTTGTGTCCTTGATCCTGCTTGAGTTGGATGTTGGGAAGATCATATTGGATAAAGGGGTGGAGGCAGCTTGTCACTGCAGGTTTTGCCTGGGTTCCTTACAATCTCACCTCTCATCAGTGCAGAGTTTGGTTTAGGGAGTTGTCACCAGGACACTTACACTCTGCATCTGAAATAAAAAGAATTAAGCATTTACTTCCTTCTGAGGTTTATTTGCATGAATGAGGCTTCTGTTTGTGGTCTGGTGGAAATACCCTTTATTAATGATGTTTCTGGGATGTAATGAGTGGGTTTGTGCCACAAATATTCCTTTAACCAAGCAGCATTTGAATTGGGCCAAACTAAAGCCAACACTTGTGCTTATGACACCAAGGATTTTCTTGCTTAGTGTTGAAATTCAAGTACAAAAGTCTTTCTGGTCTATTTGCTACAACACCTCCTCTCACAGAGGTTAAGAAGAGGTGAACAGGATGAAAAGGCACTTGCAGGGCTGAAAAAAATCTTCTGTGGAAAAAAACCATCTTTCATACCACAAAAAAAAAAAAAAAAAAGTCTCCTGTAGGTTGTTATGTGCATAAGGTGGAGGCTTAAGAGCAGACACATTTGCAGATGAACTGCTTTTACTCGCTTCTCCGAGACATGACATTTGTTCAGAAGATTAGCCAGGTTGTAATGTGGAGCATAATTGCACTGTGCGGATGTCCCAGAAGTGAAAACCTAATTGCTTGACAGGCCTATAACTTTGTGGTACGCTCTCACCTTGTTAGGTCCTTTTCTGATGCGGTTCAAATGCAGGCTGGCCGCAGGTGTGCCTAATTTACCTCGCAACAGAACGTGTGGAGTTTAATTGCACAGTGGTTGTTAGGAAAAATTGGTGGGTGGAATATCAAGTGACTTACTGTATGCGGATGGCAGATGGGCGGCGAGAGGCACCGCCAGATAAGTGTATAGGTGAGGTGAGTTAATAAAAGATGTAAATTTTAGCTTAAAATAGTGGAGTCTTGTGGAAGGTAATACATTTTAATTAAGATGGTAGCAGGCCCCTTTCTAACAGTGGGAAAAAATCAGAGCAAGGGAACATCGCAAAGACTGCATTTTTCTCCGTATCAGTATTTTAGGAACAGCTTAGCACATTTGGGAGGGCTGTTCTGTAATAAAAAATTCTACAGTTTGTGCATATGATACAAAGTACAGCAGGGAGAGCCAAATCTAGGAAGGCTTGACTTCTCATTCTGTGGGAGCATTAAAGTTTGAGACATGACCAAGCAGAGCTCTCATCCAGGTCCCTACTTCTTTCTGTACCACAGAGACCTTGTCTCTGGAGCTCAGGGATAGCAGAGAAAATGGTTGGGATGGTAGGGATGGGTTTGTAGTGCCCACAGTCCTTGTTGGTCAGAGTGATGACCCAGCCAGTCATCTCCTCCTGGCAAGCAAACACCCTGCCTGGGAATGTGGTTTTTAACTTATGTTGTATTCCTCTAAATATCTTGTCTTGATGCCACCTGTGCTCCGTGAACTCTCTGAAAGCACAGATTAAAGAATGAAATAAAATATCTCCGTATCAAGGAATGTAGTGGAGCTGAAATACAAATGCTGCTTGTGTTCACTCCAGCCTTGCAGCCTCAGTATTTAGCCCAGTGCTCAGGGCTATCTAAATAAACTTGATGATGTCTAATTTCACCAAGAGTGGGTCCTTTTCACCAAATAATTGAACAAATACTGGTTCCAGTTGATGTTTAGTAAAAGGGTGCTTAATGGCCCTTTTTCTCTGACAGGATGTGAGCTCTCTGTATAGAAACAATTCATCATGAATGCTTCACTCTAAAAACAATCCACGAGGAGCAATACTTAGCATTCCTAGTGCACAATTCATTGGAGAATTTCCGAGCAATTTACAAACATTAGCTCAATAAGCCTCACAACACCCATTTGAGATCAGGAAAAAAAAAAAAAAGAGAAAAAAAAAAAAGATAAGATACTGCTCCTCAGCCTCGATGTGGCACTAAGGAGCTGAAAAGCTGGAGGCTTGTCCCAGCTCCTAAATCCCCAGTGCCAGGTGGTCCTGTATGTGGGCATGAGCTGGTCCTTGCACATCATCACAATCTGTGCACTGGAATATGTGCAAAACCAGAGATATGACAGAAATGTTACATTTAGAGTTGTAGAACCATAGAATTGTTTGGATTGGAAGGAATCTTGAAGACTATCCTGCTCTAACCCCCTGCCATGGGCAGGGAGCCTGGCCTATATTCCATTGATCTGGAGAGAATAAGTATATAAAAAAACCCCCAAAACCCAAGCAATGCAGATAAAATAAGGGGGAAGTTGTGTCTGACAAAGATGAAGTTTTGTGGAGTTACTGATAATGTCCCTGCAGCAGTGTCCAGAAAACCTGAGCATCCCAGCTTGGATATCACATCAACCACTGTAGAAATCCTGATCTTTTACAACTTGACAGCTAAAACCCCTTTACAGCTTTTGGGATAGGAATTTTTAAAGGAGTGTGCATTCAGCTGAACTGACAGCATTGATTTATTTATGCTGGTTGTTTCCCTACTTGCATCTCTGATATGAGAGACCGCTCCCTCAGCTTTAGTGTCCTGTAGTAATATCAGGGTCCTGCTCAAGGTTTACTGGAAGAGGAAGAGCTGGGATTAAAAGCAGTGGTTTGTGATTTGGGATAATTCCAGAATACTCCTGTATGACCTTCGAAACTTCTCAGGAGTGAACATGATGTGGTGCAGCCTTGGTTGTACTTTCCATTGGCAATGGTTGATTCATGTTGGGTGCTCAGGAAGGGACAAGGTGCCTGTTTTGCCTCTTGCCAGGAATGCTGTTGGCACGTGGAAATTTCTATGAGGTGTGTACAGCAAGAATAGTCGTGGTCACTTATAAAGACTGATATGAATGAACAGATAATAATTGTTCATATTCTAAATGTGAAAGCCCTGGCTGACGTCACTGTTCAACATGTATGAAGTTGGGCAGCACAAGCTGCTGGGCTCGAGCATGAGGAACTCTGGGTGAGGAGCAAGTCTTGAGCTTTGCTTGTCACTAGCTGTCAGTCATTAGACAGAAAACAGATCCACAAAATATTTTTTTAGAGGTGAAACACGAAAACATAGCAACATAAAGAAAAGATGTGGTGTCAGGCTATGAACATCCTCCTGTGTGATGGCAGGACAGTGAGGGTCCCCTATTTTGCTTCACCTGCAGGGTGGAGACTTCCCAGTTCAGCTCCTTCCTCCAGTACAGGAGGGCGGCATAAAGGAGTTTCCATCTTTCCAAGCTTTCCCCTTTCCTCTAAGTGCTTGCTGTGTTCCCCTGAGGCAGCGTTGCTGCAAAAACGGTTTATGGGGAGATGCCTGGATGATAAGGGTTAGTCCTAAATAATTGCTGGTTGCCGCTCAGCAGAAATAAGCTGGATTTCGATCCCTGGGTAGAGTGACTCCTCACAGCTAAAGGCTGGCAAAGGTTGAAGAGGTCGTAAGACAGGGCCTAATTTGCCATGTTCCTTTCCTTTCAAAAACAATGAGGAAACTGGGGCCTTGCCGGTGGGCAGATCCTGCCTGGATCTCCCTGGAGTCAGCAGGAGTTGGATCGAGTCCCTTTGAATAGCGAGAGTTTCCAAACCGGAGGCAAAGCCAAGTGTTTTTCAGAAGATTGATCATTCATTACCTTTGGAATTTTTCAACGTAGAGGTCATTACTGCTAATATAAGTTGTGAAAAAATAAAAAGTATTAAAAAAATAGAGACAAATTCTCATCTGGTGTAAGTCATTGCCTTTGAAGTCAATGAGTCATTGAAATCAACTTTCCCACACCGAGTTAAGGATATGGCCTGGAGTCAATACATTTGTAGTTGTTGAAAAATTAAAAATATAAATTTGCCTTTCCTTGGCAATAATGTCCTGCTTATGATAGAGATTCTTATGCTTTAAAATAAGTTCATTAACAAATAAGAAAGTAATATTTCACCACCAGTATTCTTTTGGGTATAACTATTTATGATTAAATTTTATTAAACTTTTTAAAAATTGGATTTACATTTTGATGAATCTAATAGATTTCAATTTTGTATTTTTATAGATTCTTTCTAAAGTTTTTCCTCAAGTGCAATCAGAACTGTTTGAAGAATGCAGGCAACCCACGAGACATGCGAAGATTCCAGGTACAGATCCCTCTAAAAACATGAACAATATATAAAAGACTTAATCACATCTTCATCTTGAACTTTTCATAATGAAAAATCAGTGTCGGGGCTTCTACTTAGCGTAGTTCCAATGCTTAAAAAAAATTGCTGTCAGTATTTTACACTTCCTCCACTAATTTAAATGATGGTTCTTGGGATGTTCCAAGTTCTGCAGTGGAAGGTAATGGATCAGTGCTGAAGCAAGTGGATCTCTCCTTAAAAAGTATTTCCCTAGTTTTCCTTCCTACTAACACCTTGTGTGGTCATTTGGAGTATGCTCAGACCTGCAGAGGTTTTAAATAGACTGATTAGTTTGATCTTACTAATGACAGGACTGTGGAGCGCAGGGGAGTTTGGATCTCGCACAGGGGTTTTTCAGGTTCACAACTTGTAAATCCACCAGTGGTGGCCCAACCCTCATATTTTTGTTTCAATTGTGTTAGAAAATGTTTAATACTTCACTTTCTCCTTACAGCTTTTGAGATATCCTGTGGTGAATCATAACACTACAGAGAGACATCTGACGGGATGGACAAATGATTTCCTCCGTATCTGGGGTCATTCGAAAAGGCTTGTTAGGAAATAAATGCCTTTTATTTCAAAATATTTCACAATGATTCATATTTGATTCTAATAATAAAGTAGCATTGAGATGTTCAAGATTTTCTTAGTTTGGAGAAGAATAACTTGTGGTTAACAAACTTGATAGAAAAACATGTGACATCTGTTTTCATGCACAGCCAACCAACCGGGGAAGCCAGCACCCTTGAGCCAGCCAACAGAAAAGATCTGTAGCTGGGAAAAAAAAATATTCCTTCAAAACAATTGAGCCAAGCTCCCATTTTTCATGCATCTCAGCTTCACGTGGCATCGGTGATATTGATCCATCTGAACAGAACAGAAGGTCAAACCTGGAATGAGTGGAAATGTCCTCTTTGTCTCACCGATGACTAAATGAAGCATCAGTCAGGAGCGATCTTGTGGTCGACAATGGAGCCAGTAGGCACTAGAAAGACTTTCCTGGGTCTCTTTAGCTAATCTTCCTGCCTCTCAGAAGGTTTAACTGGACTTAACAGGATGTCAGATCTTGAACAGTATTTTTACCTGGTTTCACTGTCTCAGCACCTTTCTGGAGGTGCACTGCAGGAGGAAGGGGATATAACAAAGCGTAGCACATCGACTTTCTTTTGCTGAACTACAGTATTTTCCCTTGGTGACTGACCTATATATACATGACAGAACAAAAATAGTTGTCATTTTCATATACACCTTGCTCTGTCTTTTTAATACACTGTGTTCTAGGAACCAAACTCAGGAATCTTGGCTGAAAATCATGCTTGTATGTTTTGCAATATTTCTTAAAGTCTGGAAATCTCATTAGGAGTGAAAGCTGATAGCCCAGTGGCCTGGCAGCAGCTCTGCAGCCAAGGTGAGCGTGCTACCTCAGCACTCTCCGAAGTGGATGTTGACAAGATTGAAAGTGTCCACTTGTGGGAGGAGAGAGCTGGGGAAGCAGAGCAGCCTGGCAGAGAGCTGCCCTCGGGCTGTTCTAAAGGATACCGCAGATGGCTGTCTCAAAGGAGGCAGGATACACAGGAAAGGTGCTGTGATAGCTGAAAGCTCATTATGGCTTGTGAATAAGAAACAGGATCAGAGGTGATCCAAAACATAGAAGCAGACAAGAATTTTCTTCTGATGCCTTGGACCAGCTCTGTGCAAAAGGAGGTTCATTTCTCCCCTTCCATTTGTGTTTTTTTTTAAGTGTTTGGGTTGAGGAGCTGGTGGGAGAACCCTTCAATCATCTTTGTTACATCCCAAAGTAAAATAAACGGAAGGTGAAAGCTGAAATTTGTCCTACCTTTTGCCACCATCACTGATAAGGTCTAACTCAACCTTTGACTTTACGGACTCTACTAACCCCAAAGAAATCACTGCAGTGGCTCCTTCATGCAGTAAAACTTGGAACCCACAGCACAGGGCCCACGCTGGAGTATTTAAATAAGATGTAAATGTCTCTCTGGGATAATAGTGCTGGACCTGCGGAGCCGTGTTCCACACAAACACAGGCGCAGCTCCCCGTTTCCTCCTTGGCTTGTGTTCCCGCGATATCGCTTCCGGAAGGAGTTTCACAGCTCCATTGTGTAGGTGTTTTTATCGGGAAGGTTGTGCGTTTTGCATATGTTCCTTTGCCATTTTCTACTGAGAAGCAGCTGGAAGCCAAAGGAGGCCCTATCCATCATCTCTTCTATGGCCGGACTCTGAACCTGGACACAAGAATAGGAGCCTTTCACTCAAAAATAAAGGAGGAAATTCCATTGACATACCAGGGTCAATCACCATCCAAATGAACTTGAGAAGGGATACTTTTCATGGATTGAAAACACTTTCACTATTCATATTCAACTCGGGCTTTTCAGATGCAAAAAAGTTCATTATCAGACATTAAATGTAATTGTAAAACTGACCTGGAGATCATTTACTGAAGAAAAAATGGGGAGTTACGATGGTTCCTGATTTATTAAGCTTTTTTTATTTGGAATCCTCACAACCCTTCATTTGAAGACAGTCTCAAGTGAACAAATTTTAATTAGATAAACTATCTAATCAATATATCAACAGATCAATCAAAACAGCAGCTTTTAAAATGAGTGGCTAGAGGGGTGTTTCTGAAACTAATGGCTAGAAGAATATTTCCCTGAATTGAATTCATTTGTTAGCATAATAGGAGATTAAACTCTAATTAGTGTAGCAGGTTCTGAAGAGAAACAATTGTGAGTTAAAAATCACCAGTGGTTGCCACGTAAACAAAGATGTATTCAGAGATGTCATTCACTCGGTTTAAATAGAAATAGAAAAGTAACAGGATGTTGTTGTGTCTTACGAGACCTGATTCAGTGCAAATCTGCAGGATTTTTTTAAACTTGGCGTTTTGTTCTCTCTTCCAGGTTGTTGTATCAACAACAGTCAATGTGGATGGCCACGTGCTGGCTGTCTCAGACAACATGTTTGTACACAACAATTCCAAACACGGGAGGCGGGCTCGCCGCCTTGACCCCTCAGAAGGTACGGCCCCTTCTTATCTGGAAAATGGTAGGCACACATTTACATGTCTTTTTTTTTTATTTGCAATGTCTTTTTTTATTTTATTTTATTTTTTTAATTTTTTTTTTTTGCACCATACTTTATGTTGAGACACCACTACATTTACTTTTACAACATTTCTTCTCTCATCCATCAAACCACCCATTAAAAAAAGTCCATTAGTATTTCTCAGCCCTTGTCAACTAGAATATGGACACTTCTGAATTTGCTTCTGACTCCTTTCTTTATTTAATACTTAGAGTTTTGCAGTCACAACCAATTTTTCATCTTTTCCTCTTTTATTTCTTTTTTTATTTTATTTTATTTTTTTATTTCAGTCTTGTTTTGCTTGCAGCTTTTTCTTGCTCTTTAATTTGACTTGATTTTATTTTGGCTTGCCATATTCCTTGATCCAGAGGTACAGTCTCAGGTTATGTATGCAAGTTTAAGTGGATGGTAAAAACATGACCGAATCTGTAAAGAATTTACTGTGAGGTCAATTTCCTGTGGCTGGGCCTTACTGCAGATTACGGCAGGAGGGGGTTTGTATGAGAAAAACAGCATAAAATGTTTTTCTTCAGCCTGACTCAATGTGATTGACTTCTTGCCTGAACTGCTAAAAGAAGATAGTCTGAGATGAAGAGGAGAATGGAAAGAGTCTCTGGAAATCCAGAATTGTGAAATCCTATCTTTCTGGAGCCCATCAGCCTCCAAATCACTCGCACGCAATCGCAGCTGCGCCCGTACACATGAACACATGTATTTATTCACCTGCAAAGCCCAAAATAATAATTTAGATTTAAATATCCCTTCGTTTGCACTGTAAAATATATCAGTGTAAAGGTTTAAACTGGCAGAGGATAGGATAGGATAGGATAGGATAGGATAGGATAGGATAGGATAGGATAGGATAGGATAGGATAGGATAGGATAGGATAGGACAGGATAGGATAGGAACGGAACTTTTCAGTTGGAAGGATCATACAATCCAAGTACCTGAACACTTTAGGGTTGCCCAAAATTTAAATGCACAGGGATCAAATATATCTTCAGTTCTGAAAGAGCTAGATTCTCAAACCCACTGTGACCAGATGTGTGCAGGCCATGCACATCAGTTTGCATGGGACGGCTCTTTCGAGTTGTTACCAACATATTGACGGAATCATGGCTTTTTACACTAATAAAATTAATTAAAGTGATAACAATACTAAGCTGCTAATGCAATCATTGCCATTTTAGGTTTCAAATAGTATTTACCAATGGGCAGAGAGGGAAATGAACGAGGCAAGCACCAACTGTCAGAAGGCAAAGCGATCTAGACATCAAAAAACGGAAAATGATTTACAAATCTGCCGCGGTCCACACACACAGCCCTGATTTGTTTTTCTGCATTAATAACTAAGGTATAAGAGACCAAAAATATAATAATTAAAGGTCGCCCTGAGCACCAGAGTCATTATGGTCTATGACGTATTGTTTATCTCTTTCATATGCGCGGAAAGTAGGTGTGTGTTTTGCCTAGCAACCGTCACTAATGAGGTTCACAATTAAGAAGGCTGAATCCTCTCCCCTCGTCCTCTCCTTCCCCAGAGAGCAAGAACTAGCAACATTATAGGTTCAAGTAAGCATGCTCAGCCCTGTGGTGTTAGGTTTTAGTCTAGGTCCAAATTCAACCTCTTCTAATGAGCTATTATGATCTTAGCAAAATACAAGTATTTATTTTTGTAAGCTGCATGAAAAGAATTTGACTCTGAGCAGAAAATACTGCTTAGAAAAATAAAGGCCACTTTTACATGCTACAGAAAATCTACATAAATGTCATTTACCAACAGCTTCCCTTTTTTGAGATACAGTAATTGATTTCCCTTCTTTAAATGTTAAAAAACACAGTGCCAAATCCTCTTTGCCTAACATCCCATAAACGCTCAGGCAAGTAAGCTGCACCGTTGCAAATGAATGTGAAAATCTCAGTGCTGCTCCTTAAAGTCCTACTTTTAATAACAATTATAGTAATGAAGCAAGTCAGAGTAAACACTCATGGAATAGGGTGGCAGAGCAGGAAAATGCCCTTGCATGGAGGAGGGAATGACAGGGCCAGGGTTTCAGACGCACTGGGTTGGTAGCTGATGAGGTTCAGGAGATCTCAGAAACCTCATAAGTGGGGCCGCACTTGGAAAACAGGTCTCACCATGCAGTTCTGCTCCCACTGAAATCACAGCACAACTTTTTGGGATTTTAGTGGAGCTGGAATCAACTTCAGCCTCTTAAAATAGGGATGGTGTTGCCTGCAAGGAACATTCCCCAGATCTTGGCCTTGCTTGCTTGTCAATCTTTGTTTCCTTCTGGCCAGGGTATAACCTGGATACTAATACCCTCTTAAAAGGATGGGGTTTATGCCATGCTCCAAGTCCATTGGGTCCCAGCACCTTCCATGGCGGATGGAATGCTTTGCATTAGCAACACAATCTTTAAAGAAAAGTCCCCGCTAAAACCCACCGATATTTACTTCTGTCGTGGTTTTGCCCTGGCTCAATTTACTTTTATACTCCCACATACAATTACTATTAGCTGAGAGAAGGTTTATGCAGACAAAAATAGACTGAACTGAAAAAAAAGTATGAGTATTTATTATTAACAAACTAAAACTAAAGAATTATATCTACAACAATTCTACTTAAGTAAAAGGTATTATGAATTTACAGAAGATACTTTTCCCCCCACCTCCCTTTATATCAGTCCAAGGAGGAGAAACAGTCTTTTTCTGTTCTCAGAATTCCAGCTCTCTCTCTCTCCAGTAACTCTGCAGCACTTTCGTCGCAGTTGGAACTTCTTTATCTCTCTCTTATTCTGTGTTGGCCTCCAGGGCTGGGCCTACCCCCCTCCTGGGTTAAAACCGAAGGTTGAGGGTTACCCAGGTCCTGAAGGGTCTCCTTCCATAGGCTTGCAAGGGGACACTTGCTTACTATGGATCTTCTTCCACAGGGTTACAAGGGATAATGGTTTAAGAGTTCACCCCTGTTTCCCTATGGAGGTCCCTCCCCATGGGAGAACAGTCCTTGATTGACTTCTCGACATGGGTCCAGTCTGGATCCCTTACTCGGATCCCAATATCCCACCTGAGCCATTTTCTGCTCCAGCGTAGGTTCTCTCTAGCACCAGCAGCACGGATCCCACACATGGATCCCAACATCCCTACCTGAACCGTTTTGTGTTCCAGCGTAGGTTCTAATACCCGTCAGGGTCATAAATCTTCAACAGCAGCAGCATGGATCTCTCACTGAGATCCCAAGCTTATCTGAGCCGTCTCGCTCCAGCATAAGCATCGATCCCTTCGAGGGTCACAAAGTCTTTAACAGGACTCTGCCTCATCTGAGCCGCTTTTACTCCAGCATAAGGCTTTCTCTGTTAAAGTCACAAATCTCTGGTGCATCCACAAGCTCCTCTGTGAGCCGCATGGGAGTCTCTTCACCCCAGCAAACTTCTACAGGTGGCAGGGTTTTATTTTTCAGTCTTTACCCTGCTGAAGGGAGGGAGAGCGAAAGGAGAAAAAGCAGCTCTCCCCCTTCGAACTTTTCTTCTCTCTCCTGCGACTGCAGCTTTGACCTTGAAAGTCTTGTTATCTCATGGCTGGAATTCTTCTGCAGCGGTTTCTCGTCTAAGCAGTTCGTCTTTTAAACCTTTTTTTTCTTCACTCTCTCACAAGAGAGAAGGGAGGCTTCAGTGCTACACCTGCCCCCTTCCCCGGCCCAAGCCGGGGGAGGAGGGGGCCTTGGCCCTCCTCGGGCCCACCGCGTCTCTCCTACATGGCTGCTGCTCCTAATTTCAACTGCGCCACAACCTTCTCTTCCGTTTTCTTAAAGATGTAATTAGCAAAGGCGTCACTGAACTTTTTGATTGGTTTTTTGTCCGGAAATCACCTGGACAAAACCATCCTCAGCCCCAGGGATGAGCTGGTGGGCAAAACCACGACAATTTCCCCCTTCGCCTTTGCGAATTACATTTTAAGAAATCTTAAATTCTACAATAAACATACAATTATAAATAAACAAACTATAACTAAAAATTACTCTATTAAAACTTAAAACAACATTACTATAATATTTAACTCTATTATTCTCTTTTTACTACAACCACAGTACACATGGTCAGTCTACTTTTGTCTGCAGACCTTTCTCTCAGTTACTTTAAAATCATTATGGCCAATTCCTCACATGAGGTACTAGAAATGTTGGGGTTTGATTCAGTCACTGCCTTTCTGGGCAGTCTTTGCCCGCATTCTCCACCAATAAATGTCGTGGTTTTGCCCTGGCTCAATTTACTTTTATACTCCCCATACAATTACTATTAGCTGAGAGAAGGTTTATGCAGACAAAAAGAGACTGAACTGAAAAAAAAGTATGAGTATTTATTATTAACAAACTAAAACTAAAGAATTATATCTACAACAATTCTACTTAAGTAAAAGGTATTATGAATTTACAGAAGATACTTTTCCCCCCACCTCCCTTTATATCAGTCCAAGGAGGAGAAGCAGTCCTTTTCTGTTCTCAGAATTCCAGCTCTCTCTCTCTCCAGTAACTCTGCAGCACTTTCGTCGCAGTTGGAACTTCTTTATCTCTCTCTTATTCTGTGTTGGCCTCCAGGGCTGGGCCTACCCCCTCCTGGGTTAAAACCGAAGGTTGAGGGTTACCAGGTCCTGAAGGGTCTCCTTCCATAGGCTTGCAAGGGGACACTTGCTTACTATGGATCTTCTTCCACAGGGTTACAAGGGATAATGGTTTAAGAGTTCACCCCTGTTTCCCTATGGAGGTCCCTCCCCATGGGAGAACAGTCCTTGATTGACTTCTCGACATGGGTCCAGTCTGGATCCCTTACTGGATCCCAATATCCCACCTGAGCCATTTTTCTGCTCCAGCGTAGGTTCTCTCTAGCACCAGCAGCACGGATCCCACACATGGATCCCAACATCCCTACCTGAACCGTTTTGTGTTCCAGCGTAGGTTCTAATACCCGTCAGGGTCATAAATCTTCAACAGCAGCAGCACAGATCACTCACTGAGATCCCAAGCTTATCTGAGCCGTCTCGCTCCAGCATAAGCATCGATCCCTTCGAGGGTCACAAAGTCTTTAACAGGACTCTGCCTCA